CTGATCCCCAAATTGTGATACGATTCGTGATCGACGCATTTCAAAAATTCTGTTTGACTACTCGCTAAAGTTGTCAGAGATGAAGTTGATGATGATGAACAAGTTGAAGTTTGACAACGGTCGAAATCTTCCAAGAATTCCGAAGTGGGTGTTGAAAATTCCATTTCAGAATTTGTTGAATACCAGGAACAAGCAGTAGCGGAAGAATTTGTAGATGAATGATGAGGTGACTTGCGAGAGGTTTTCAAAGAAATTTCATCATCATAATTTTTGTTCGAATAATTACAAAAGGTATCATATTCTGATTTGCGAGAGGATGTTGAAGAAGCTTCATCGTCGTAGTAACTTTTGTTCGAATATTTATAATAAGTATCATATTCGGATGTATCATCATATTCGGATACGGTAAAATTACGACATGCAAGTACACGTTCTCGAAGTTCGTCCAATGAAATACGTTTCTCAGGGTCAAGATTAAAGATATCTTTTAAAATTTCATTAAGCTCATCAGAAAGTGGGAGAATTGACTTCAAAAAATCACGGTCTCGCAAAAACACAGAAAAAGTTTCATCGCGAAGACAAGCTTGTTTCCAAGGATTCCGACCACAGGTAAGATTAATGAGGATAACCCCTAATGACCATACGTCATTAGAAGCGGTGACATACCCTCGTACTTTTTTATTTAATCCTCCTTGACATTCTAAAATCAAAAAAAAAAAAAAAAAATTACAAAATCAATTTTAAAAGATTCAAAAAATAAAAAAAAATAAAAAGTGAAATTTTTTAAATAAAATAAAATACCTGGACTCATGTAAAACGTTGAACCGCAACCGAAATCTCTTGACCAAACATCGGTTGTGGCCAAACCAAAATCAGCAAGTTTCACGGTCCTTCCACCATCAAAGACAAGAATGTTTTCAGGTTTTAAATCTCGATGATAAATCCCATGAAAATGAGAAAATTGTACAGCATCAAGTATTTGAACGAAAACTTGTTTGATAAGTTGATCGTTTCCAAGATATCCACCCTTTTCGGTGATCATTGAGAACAAATCACCTTCACGACAGTATTCGAGCACCACATTAAGCGTATCTGAGGTATCAACAACCTTTTCTAAACTTATAATATTTGGATGACCTGAAACTTGAGCATGTAAACTGATCTCTGTCGCATGTAATCGATGTTGTCGTGCATCGATTTTTGCTTTTGGCATACACTTTACGGCGTACATGCGTTGATTCTTAACATGCTTTGCAGCATAAACCACACCATAAGCACCAACGCCAAGAATATGAGTTATTTCAAGTCGACCATTATCGATGAGACTGCCGATACGTTCTGAAGGGTTTTCATTAATCGACATTTTATAAAATCTTTATATTCAACAGAACAGGTCAAGTTTTTTATAATATATTATGAATCCGCGTCTGGTCTTACTGCGGCAGGTAGAAATAAGCAAAAATGGGTTTTTGAAAAAAAAAACTATTCAAACATAAGAAAGTGATTTTCTTTTTTCTTTTAAAAAAAAAGGTATCAATAAATATTAAAAAAGAAAAGGAAAAAAAAATCTACAACCCTAAAGTTGCTCTTGATTTTAAAAAGGAAGCGAAAGTTATATTGGAAAGGAAAAAAAAAAGTACGAGTATATTATATCTTGACACTGCAAATACTTTATTGTTTTTCTGTCTCAGTGAGCGAACAGAATAAATTCTCCTTAGAATCGATTAATTATTATTTTTAATTGAAGGAATTTTAGCGTTTACAAACAACTAACGTAGAAAAATAATATAGGGAGATGTTGCATTTATATAATAATTTGAGTGGAAAATAAATTATATTATTATAGTATAAAATCAAGAATATAAGGTGATTTTTTATTCATCCAGTATGGAAAAGAAGCGCGTGAATATGTGAGGTACAATAGGGTAAATGTGCTTATTTAATATATATATTCAAAATTGAGTAAGGTTAATTCTTTTAGGTGGGTGAAAAAAAAAAAAGATCAATGAAAAAGACAACAAAAAAAATTGTCTGCCTTGAAAAAAAAAAAAAAAAAAAGGAGACCAAAAGTTTTTTTATATTTGTTTCTTGTGTAGGTAGGTTACAAAAAAAAAGGGGGCTGAAAAGGAAGTACAAAAAGAGGAAAAATGAATTGATGTATGTGACAAAGAGTTATATTGCACAGTGGAAATTCAGCCAACGAATAAGTTGTGACACGATACTTTTTAAATAATTTTTACTATTTGCGGATCGTGATAGAGAAATGTCACATAAGATTAAGGTAAATTTGATAAATTGATTCTGGTAAATTATTTGGGAATTCTCGTCAGCTGAGGTTATTTAAGATCTTTTATTTATTCTGACATTATATCAGAAGTTATGCAATCATGAAACGGTGGGGTGAGATTTATTTTTGCAAAAAGAAACCTGTTACACAACATACATTTTCGTCATGAAAATCGGGATCTACGCATGACATTGAAGATTCGGAAATTACAGCATTCAACTGTAATGTGTTAATGTACTTTCGGAAAACAAAGAATTTAATGCAACTTGCTGTCGTTTTCGTATGTTACTGAATTTTTAAAACTAATCTTGCAGTAA